GCCCTTCGTATGTAGTGTAGACCCGCTCACTTTTGTTGGGGCTCGTGGTGGATCGATCATCGAAGTCGGTACTTGGTAGTCTGTTCCTTTGTGCTCCACAACCCCACCGCCCAACGCCTCCCCACAGACTGCCAGACTCAGCCAGACTTGCTTGACTCAAGTGGATCAGGCAAACTCCGTTCTTGTGGAGATCTCACCGGAGGGTTTGGGTTCCGTCTGATTGGGTCAGGGATTCGAGGGGGCGGTTGGTTAGTTATCGGCTGGTGTTGGTTGGTGCTGCTGGGTTGTGCCAGGTTGTTCATGCAAAGTTGTGATGCGCGGCGGCGGTGAAGTCGCCCCGAGGCTAACTAACTAGTGAGTTTGCTCAAGCTGTTAACGACGGAGTATGGTGGCTCAACTGCCGAGCCATGGATATCCCAGTACCTCCCTTTCGTCAACTACCGGGTGGCTGATCGAGGGGGGTTTATCAAGGGGCTCTGATGGTGGGGGAGCGGTGATGGACGGGATAGTCAGGGGCAAGACAAAGCGTCCCGCGAAAGGTGTGAACCTGGCATGCTTGACTCGTACGTGGTGTAGAGAAAAGATGCACTGCGTCGATGTGGACGGAATATTCCTGTTTGGTTTGTCAGGGTTCCGGGATGTGGGCGCAACGGGATAACGAGCGATGATGGGATGGTCGGCGATCTCAGGGCATGATGATACTCCCGACCCATCCATGCATGACTGTGCATCTCCTCCCCGCCTCCCCCGATCCCCGTCCCGTCGGAAGGAGCACAAAATGCTCCCGGGGGCGAGCTTCCGTCCGCGCAACATATGGACCTATGTACATATGTATGCACATGCCTCCCAGGGGTGCTTGCGCACCTTGCAGGCTGGCTGTACCTTTTTTGTGCCTTTTATCCCCTCACGCGCGGGCGATAGCCGTGTGCGACGCTGGGAAGAGCAGCGGGGGGTGGTTTAGGCTAATCTGGCTGGAGGGTTGGGAATGGGTTAACTTGGAACCAGAATCTGTTTCGTTTCCAGCTTTGTTTTCTATATACTTGGCGAATGTCTAAATAGGCCACCAGCCGCTGAGTTGAGACTGGGAGAGAAAATGGGGACAGTTTCGTCTCTGGTCGCGCCACAGGCCCTAACCTTCCCCTATTCGGACCCCATCAAAACCCATCAAAACCCCACGTGGAAAGCTGAAAGCGGGAACCGGCAGGCCGGCGTTAGTGGGGCTTGAAGCCGTGGCCTATCTCCGTTGCCGGGCTTGGAATGTGCCCGGAACCCGAAACGCCACTGTGAAGGCACGACGGCTGACGAAGTCGCCGAGAGCGCGCCATTGCTGCTGGCTTCTTAAAACCTTTGGCCTGTGAGGCTGGAAGGGTGGATTCATCCAAAGTCACTCGTTTCGCCCCAAATCGAAGTAAATCTTGAAGTTACCTATCCATCCACTCATTCGTCAATCCACCCCCTATCCATCCATGTCGCCCGAAGAGATGCCCCTCCTCCAAGACGGGGCGCTGCAGGCCGGCGCCTCAGGTAAGTCCTGTTATGCCGCCCCACTCCGGGTATTACCCGCACCGTACATACCGTACCGGGTTAGGTTCCGAACGGACGCTGACGCCCGTTGCCGTGTGATAAGCCCCTATCCCGGGCACAGGCACAATAGGCGCCGCCGAGTCCGGCCCGGGCTCCGGAAAGCCGCGACTGCCGCAAAACATCGGACACCGGGGCTACAAGGCGGCGTTCCCGGAAAATTCCATGGCCGCCTTCCACGGCGCCGTGGTGGCCGGCGCACACGCGCTCGAGACGGACCTACACCTGTCCCGCGACGGCGTGGTCGTACTGTCCCATGTGAGCAGCTAGACACTAGACACTTAACGGGTGCACTTTCACACGAGGGAATGAGTGCCGTGCGTGTGTGACAAAACAACGGCTGATGACAGCAACCCCCTTTTGTTTCTCTTTACTAGGACGCGACGCTCAAGCGGTGTTTCGGCATCGACACCAAGATCGCCGACTGCGACTGGTCGTACCTGCGAACGCTACAGACGCTGCAGGAACCGCGCCAGGGCATGCCCCGGCTCTCGGACCTGCTCGAGTGGCTGGCCCGGCCCGAGCTGGCTTCCGTCTGGCTGCTGCTGGACATCAAGACCGACGACGACCCGGAGGTGCTGCTGCCCGCCATCGCGAGGACCGTCGCCTCCGTCCCGCCGTGGGAAGGCGGGAAGGGCTGGAAGGAGAAGATCGTCGTCGGGGCGTGGAATGTACGCCGCCCCTTTCTTTTTATTTATTTATTCATCTTCTTTTACCACCCCCCTATCCCCCTATCTTACCATCAACTCACCAACTCACCCCCAACTAACACCCCCCAAACAGGAAAACTACATCCACCACGCGCGCCTCCACCTGCCCGGCCACGCCCTCGCCTACATCGGCTTCTCGCTCCTCTACGCGCGACGGTTCCTTTCCGACCAGCACCCGGACGTGCACTTCAACCTATTCCAGCCGAGCCTGGTAGGCCCGCTGGGGGCGGCGTTCCGGCGGGCGGCGCGCGAGCGCGGCCGCAAGCTGTTCGTGTGGACGGTCAACGAGGAAGAGTGGATGGAGTGGGCGGTGCGCAAGGGCGTTGATGGTGTTATCACGGATGAGGTTGGGCGGTTGAGCGGGGTGCTGGATCGGTTGGGGGCTGGAGCTGGGGTTGGGGGTGTTGTTGTTGTCCCTGGGGCCAAGTGGCCGCATGCATTGGGATTGTATGCCCGGGCCGTGGTGATGCAGGCCGCGGCGCTGGTGTTTTCGCTGTTGCTGTGGCGCCGGCTGAGCACCATGGGTTCGAGGAGGAAGCCTGGTAGTGTGACGGTGCCTGGAAAGCCGTGATTGGTGTTGTGCGGGTGTTTATCGGTAGGGATGTGCACTTCGTCCATGAGCGGGTGGTTGATGTCACCCTTTTGTTGGAGAATACCAGCATCGGTTGGATGGCAGACTGGGATCGGACCAGAGCCTCGCGGGTACCACCACACCATATGCAGATAATCCTGCGGGGTCTAGGTAGACATGGTGATATCCGTGTTTTGTGCAATGACAGCTTCGGCAACAACTCCATCATGCCATGCCAGCGGGCGACCAGAAGCCGGTCTACGGCTATCCAACCTTGACACAGTGTTACCCGGGCGTGCTTCTGGCTTTGCGCTTCTACATCGCCGGCGAGCTAGCGTTGTGACACAAAACTAGGCAGTATCGCTACGGCAGCCAGCGCAAAACCAAGGGAGCTCTTTGTCCGCGATGGTGTATAAGACGAGGCGGGGAACCCCCAGGCTGCAACGGACGGACGGCCCTTACTCGCCATACCCTGATGTGCTAAAACACAGCAGAACTGGATATCGATGCCTCGCGCCATCCACTTCATCTTCCCCGAGGCGAAGAAAAGGGCTAGCCAGCGCCCTTCGGCCTGTGTTGTCATCCAAGACGCCCATCTCGGCGCGAGAGGTGCCTGCGGCCGGGTGGCGGCTAAGAGCCGGGAGAGCATTGAGCCCGTTTGCATCGGCCATCTATGCAGATACAAACGCTCCAATGGGCGTCGATGCACGAGAACACCACTGAGTCTCGCTCATGGCGACATCGACCCTCTTGCGGGCTGGCTACCCAACACCGAGCAGTCGCCATACTGCGAACGTCACGAGCGGCACAACTGCATCGGGTTCCTTTACGATGCTGTGCGGTGCCCCGAGGCAAAGACTGAAGGGAGGGAGTACTGCTCAGCTCATGCAGCTACGCTGTGCAAATGGAAAGCGAACGATGGCTCGCTGTGTGCCGCGGAAGCAGGCAGAGGCTCAGGATATTGCACAACCCATTGCTGGTGCGAACCGCCCCCCATTGCTCTTCTCCCAAGACTCTCTCACGAGGTTGTATCCTGGTGAGCTAACTCAACATGTCCACGCGTATTAGCGCGATTGCAACCGAAGAAGGCCACGAATGCCCCCAGCCTCGATCTCGCTCGGCCATATTCTGCAAGAGCCATCGTTGCGTCTGGAGAAACGGCGAAGGCAAGCAATGCCCCAACACCTCCTATCCCAACACCGGCGGTGTCTGCGCCCCTCACACTTGTGAGAAAGCCAACTGCGGAAACGGGGCCCTGGACGACTTGGACCGTTGCTCGGAGCATGTGTGCGCATTCCAGCGCCCTGATCAGCCGAGCGATTTTCCGGTTTGCCCCGGCGAGCCGATCCAGGGGCAGCCTTTTTGTGAGCCCCACGACCGCTATGTTCGGCTGTATGAGCGGGTGATGCTGGATGGTTTTCTGTTGAATAGGCCGGCAGTATGGTAGTTAATTATGATATATGGTTTTGTGACTGGTCATATTTTTTGTTTTGGGTGGTGACATTGGAGAGGGAGTATTACCGCTGATCGGAATATTGTTTTCATCGGAAAAATGGACCAGATCGAGCAAGAAAAGTGTTCGGTAATATCAATTTTGAAAATTATGTTTGTTCTTTGTTCGAGAGGGAAATTTGATAAAAGACGTCGAAGGAAGGTTCCATTGCTGCCCGGTCGGATCTCTCCACGCAGTTCGGACCAATTTCCGCCCCGTCGGCGGCTTGGCCCCCACCAATGCCCAGAAAATCCCCGGCTTATCGTCCGGTCTCAGGGCTTAATTGGCGTTATCTCCGCGCTGACGTGGGCATTGCAGCGCCTGGACTCAGCCCTCAGCAGCAAACGAATGCGCTGAACATTGAAGATCCGGGGGGTCGGGATCGCAATGCTCCGCCGACGACGCCTCATCATAGTCTATTAATAAATATTAATATACCAAGTCAACCCAACCCGTGATACAGAATATTCTTCGTGTCCCTAACAGTTTAGACGTTTACCCCCTGATTACTAGCATCAATTAACAATGGCAGAAGAATACTCGGGCGGAAGCCCAGAAGCCGATCACCTCGTCGTGCTCGTGCACGGGGTAAGCCCCTATCGCATAACCACTACGCAAACGGCTGCTGACGTCGCAATGTGCCAACTCTAGCTATGGGGAAATCCCAACCACATGGCGTCTGTCGCCAAAGCCCTACGAGCACAATACCCCCCCGAGCAGGTCTACATCCTCCTCGCAAAACGCAACAGCGGGTCTTTCACGTATGATGGCATCGAACTTGGCGGCGAGCGCGTGTGTGTCGAGATCGAGGAGGAGCTGGAAGTGATCAAGAGCAAAGGGGGCAACATCAAAAAAATCAGCATCGTGGGGTATTCCCTTGGTGGGCTTGTCGCGAGGTATGCGATCGGCCTGCTCTTCGCGCGGGGCGTCCTAGACGGGCTCGAGTGCATGAACTTCACGGCGTTCGCCAGCCCCTTCCTCGGCGTACGGACACCACTGCGCGGGTGGGCGAACCAGGTGTGGAACGTCCTAGGCGCGCGGACGCTCTGCATGTCGGGCCGCCAGCTCTTCGGCATCGACAAGTTCCGCGATACGGGCAAACCCCTCATCTCGGTGCTGGCCGACCCCAACTCCATTTTCATGTCCGGGCTCGCCAAGTTCAAGCGCCACACCCTCTACACCAACATCACCAACGACCGCAGCGCCGTCTACTACACCACGGGCATCACCAAAACCGACCCCTACACGGACCTCTCCAAAGTCACGGTGCGCTACCTCCCCGGCTGGGAGGACGTGATCCTGGACCCGGCCGAACCCGTCTCGAGCACCCCACCACCGCCACCAAGCGAACCGGAAACCCTGCAGATGAGCGTCGAGAAATGGGCCAAGCGCGTGCCCTTCATCGCGGCGCTGGCGCTGTTCATCCCGCTCGGGGTGGTCGCCTTCCTGATCAACTCGGCCATCCAGACGGTGCGGTCGTCGCGGCGGGTGCGGCTGCACGAGCGCGGCCTGGCCGGCATCCGCGTGCAGGACTTCCGCGTCAACCTGTGGATTAAGGAGATTCGCGAGGCGGTGGAAGACGCCTATGAGAATTTGAGCAGCTCCCAGAATCAGGCGTATCTGGTCGGTGATGGTGATGATGATGATGGGTCGTTGTCGGGCTCGGGTTCGGCGGGGGAGGATGAGGAGAATGGGGAGCCGGATGGGGAGGGGGGTGCGAGGAAGATCCTCGCGCTGGAGCGGAAGCGGTCGCGCACGCAGGAGGGCGGGTTCCCGACGCTGGCGCTGGCGGGGTATCAGTTTGCGGCGATCGAGGCGCTGGATAAGTTGGGGTGGAGGAAGTATCCGGTGTGGATTCACAAGCACCGCCATAGCCATGCGGCTATCATTGTGAGGACGGAGAAGGAGGGGTTTGCGGAGGGCGGGGTTGTGCTGCGGCATTGGGTGACGGCTGAGTTTTTGGTTTGATTTGGGCCGGCTTAGAGGGAGGTGAATGCTGGATTGGATGTAATATGGCTCAGCGGGTTTGGCGTTGGTGGTGCTTTAGCGTAGAGCGCGTTGGTTGGATGACTTCTGGGAGTTGCGGACTTGGGAGAATACCATCATCCTGGACAACCTTTGGGCTTGGAATAATAAGCACACTTCGTGTGCTCGCATCTCTCATTGTGATCAAGCTGGCAGGGTCCGGGTCATATGCGGTGGAAGACATGTTGCAGGTTCAGCTCGTGTCTTCAATACCATGTCGCAAAAAGTCTATCTGATCTCGAAATTTCTTTGGCAGTGAGAAGAGATTATCAAGTTGTCAAGATGAGACTCTGGACGAAACGGGGCCATGGCCCAACCGTGGTGTCCATCAAGGTTGTTGTTGACTTTAAAATGCGCTGACCAGTCGTATCCCACGTAATTTTAAGCTATCCTTCCCCTTTGGGTTAGGTTAATGCCGACACCGACCGACGCGACAGGTTGGATAGGGGAACTCGATAAAATAAACGGGGCAAGAGCACCAATTCCCGAGAACCATCTTACGACACCAACATTACCTTGAGAAAGTGCGCCTAATATAGCCTGCGGTCGCATGCTTAAAATAACCATGCGTCCCTCACGCCTTGCGAAGGAAAACGTCCAAGTATTTCGACAACCCCCTCACGACAGTCGTCCCCCGCCGCTCGACCCGGTCCTCCACCCTCGCACGGTTCGCCTGGGCTGGCGCAAACGAGAGCTCCGCGGCAGGCCCTAGCAACAGTAATGATGGGCCGGAGGTGACACTGGGCTCCGACATTGAAGATGCCGTCAAGCCGAGGCCAGCGCGCAAGCGCAAGCGAACCGAGACAGTAACCCAGTCAACTCCTCGGCGAGTGTCAGCGAGAACGGCAAAGGTCGAAATCAAAGCCGAGATCAAGTCCGAGGCCAAGTCCAAGATCAAGTCAGAAGAACCTCAGCTCCGACGACGAGAAGCCAGAAACCAAGCCCAAACCCCGCGGCCGCGTGCGCAAGCCCGCGCGCAAAGTAACCGACGCAGCCACGGGCGCCGTCACCGTCACACCCCCCTCCGACTGGGAAGAGATCTACGACCTGGTCAAAGAGATGCGCCTCACGGGCGCCGCAGCCAACGCAGCGGTGGACACCATGGGGTGCGAGCGGCTCGCCCTGCCCGGCGCCAGCGCCCGCGACCGGCGCTTCCACACGCTCGTCGCCTTGATGCTGTCGAGCCAGACCAAGGACACGGTCAACGCCGCCGCCATGGCCCGCCTGCAGAACGAGCTGCCGCCGCACACACCCGGAGCTCCGCCGGGCCTGAACCTGGAAAACATGCTGGCCCGTCGACCCCGGCCGTGCTCCAACGAGCTGATTCGGGAAGGTCGGTTTTTCGACAACAACAAGACAAAGGTATGTATATACGGACCCCCTAGACCCCCCTCCCCTCCCCCACAAGCTGCCACTAACCCCCACCCTCCCTCCTCCTTACTAAACAGATACCTCAAAACCACCGCGGCCCTCCTCCGCGACAACTTCAACTCGGACATCCCGCCCACCATCGCGGGGCTCACCTCCCTCCCCGGCGTCGGCCCCAAGATGGCGCACCTCTGCATGAGCGCGCCCAACGGGTGGAACCGGGTCGAGGGCATCGGCGTCGACGTGCACGTGCACCGCATCACCAACCTGTGGGGCTGGCAGGCGCCGGCCTCGCGCACCCCCGAGGAGACGCGCGCCGCGCTCGAATCGTGGCTGCCGCGCGACCGCTGGAGGGAGATTAATTGGCTGCTGGTGGGGCTGGGGCAGTCGGTTTGTTTGCCGGTGGGCAGGAGGTGTGGGGATTGTGAGGTGGGGTTGCGGGGGCTGTGTAAGAGTGCGGATAGGGCGAAGGTGGCGGAGGGGAAGAGGAGGAGGGGGGAGGATGGGGGGAAGGTGGAAGGGGGGGTGAAGACGGAGGTGAAGAGGGAGGAGGTGGTGGTGGAGGGGGATGGGGGGACAGTGGGCGAGGTGAAAGAGGAGGTGAAGGAGACGGTGGAGGAGGATGTGGAAATGGAAGTGAAGAGGCAGGTGAAGGAGGAAGAAGAGTTGGGAGAGGAGATGGAAGAGGAAGTGAAAGGGGAAGTGAAGGAGGAGGATGTAAAGGAGGTGGAGGAAGAGGAGGTGAAGGACGAGGTTGTAAAGGTAGAGGGGGAGAGAGTAGTGGGAGCGAAAAAGGAAGAAAGCGAGGAGAAGACGGCGCTAGAAGTGAAAAAAGAAGAGGGAGAGGCGGCGGTCGACGAGGATAAAGCGCGATTGGGAAGCCCCCAGGTGAAGGAGGAGGAGCTATAGACTAACTGATTTAGCGGCAGTGATGTTGGGATGAGATGGCGGCTCCGCAGCATGTGAGCCTCGAGAGTTCTGGAAGCATCAGACGCTGAGTCATATCTAAGTCTGGCCTCTGTGCCGAAATAATTAATAGATTCCCCATACTCTCAGGTCCGGTTTCTAGGTATTGCTGAATTCCTCGAGAGGGCGGCCTTTTACTCCTTTACACCGTGACATATCACCACGAAACAAAGTCTTAAGCAAACGTAGTCAAGGGATTCAAACCAAGCAGAGGTTGTTAATAGGGAA